TAGACTAGAAGACCAATCTCACATGTGAATTTCTAATATCTGCATGCAGTATGCTTATGTAATGTTTGAGATATATGCAATAGAGAATTTTTTAATTAACAGAAATAAGCCTCAACATAAATTTTTCAAGAGCTAATTTTAGCCTGCAGTTCAGTTACTTCTAGGGGTTCTGGAAGAGTGATACATGAGAAAGAGGGGTGGGCAGGAAAACAGTAATTCATGAAGCTAATTATGTGGAGCAGTGCACTGGAGAATGTACTGTTTGTGGTACTGCATGCACCAGCAGTTAGTGTTGACACTTCTATATAAACAGTGGGTGTATTATTTATGTAGTGATTCTCTCAAATGAGGCACTACCTGGCTCTCTAGTTCATTCCTAGGGGATAATCAAATGCATGTTAGTATAGTAAACCTTAGAAATCTGTATGATATTAAAAACTAATGTAATCATATTTGAACTTAGATAATTAAAGATAGGCAAACTTTCATAAATCCTTGGCTTCATTCACATACTCAGTGTTAGGTATCTACTAAACTTTCTGAAGTGCAGCCACTAAGTCAGAGCCATAGAAGGAGGTGGAAGATGTTACTACACCTTTCTCAATCTTTAACTTAGTTGGGGACATCTGAAAACTGTAAGAAACCAGTCAGGGACTAAGTAAAAGTAACTAATTGGGAATGTTAGTGTTGTGTACATTTTATTTATATATTCCAATGATGAAGAAACAAGGATTAACTAGAAGAAAATGGATTAATCCATATTTTCTGGTTACAGTGAATCTTAAGATGTGTTTTCAAGGGGATGACTAATTCAGAGAGACATTAGGGAAATTACATGAGCAAAGGTATAGAGATGGAAACAAGAAATGTTTAGGTAGAGATATGAAAACTGATGAGCTATTTCCATGAAAGATAGAACTAACTGCTGTATTTGTTCTCCTTGGTTGTCAAATCAGGTCAACTACATTTCGTTTGGAAAAACGGAAATTAGAGAACTTCTTAGTCTTGGGTAAAATACTTTAATTTCAAGAGGTCCTTTCTAGGATGGTTAGCTGAGCCCACAAAAATGGATGCATTACATAAGCATTTTTATACCTTTAGAGTCAATTAATATTGTAACCATAAAGCATTAATGTCATAGAAGTTAATACACAGCATTGTTGAAGTCGGCCATGTCATAGAGTAAATATACAGCATTGTTGAAGTCGGCCATGTCACAGAGTAAATACACAGCATTGTTGAAGTCGGCCATGTCACAGAGTTAATACACAGCATTGTTGAAGTCGGCCATGTCACAGAGTTAATACACAGCATTGTTGAAGTCGGCCATGTCACAGAGTTAATACACAGCATTGTTGAAGTCGGCCATGTCACAGAGTTAATACACAGCATTGTTGAAGTCGGCCATGTCACAGAGTAAATACACAGCATTGTTGAAGTCGGCCATGTCACAGAGTCAATACACAGCATTGTTGAAGTCGGCCATGTCACAGAGTCAATACACAGCATTGTTGAAGTCGGCCATGTCACAGAGTCAATACACAGCATTGTTGAAGTCGGCCATGTCACAGAGTCAATACACAGCATTGTTGAAGTCGGCCATGTCACAGAGTCAATACACAGCATTGTTGAAGTCGGCCATGTCACAGAGTTAATACACAGCATTGTTGAAGTCAGCCATGTCACAGAGTTAATACACAGCATTGTTGAAGTCAGATAGGAAGAAAAGCCACTCCTCATAGTTGTTAGTCTTCAAAATTAAAGTGAAAGATTATACTCATTGCCCTCAAGTTTTATAAGCATTTATTTTGTAGTGACATGAACCTATGTCAGTATCAACTAGTTTATACAAACCTCCACTTCAGAGACAGATTGCTGTATGGTTGGTAACTACTGTTTATAGAGTTTAAATCTGCTAACAATTTTGATTAAAGGGTAAAGTGAAAATGCATGTTGGTTAAGTCTGCAGCTTCAATTGTCCGTGTACTTACAAACAACAAGCAGTGAGAAGAGGCCTCAAGAGGGAAAACACCTACAGTGAAATCTTGTACTTCATGAGTCAGAAGAGAAAAGCTTTGTTTTTCACATTAACTTCAGATTAATGTGCGTTTGTTTTCAAACACCATATGCCAAGTTTAATGTTTGTTGCCTTCTCCTGGAAAGTTCAGAAAATCAAACTTGTGAAAGATCACTTGGGACATGAAGTATGCTGGGTAGGGTACCTGTGAAATGAACATGCAGGATGATGGAACGCTCTTCCCATAGCTTTAGGGAGATAGGGCAGTCATCTCATGTCATTATCTGCAACTGCCTCCACCTCTCATCCATTATTACTTCCCAAACTAATATCACTAACATTTATGGCTGCTGTCTATATGCCAGACACCACTTCACACCTCTCATGCATTGGCTCACTTAACCAACGTAACAATATTGAGTTAGCCAGTTCTTTTCCACATTTTGTTTATGGGGAAGCTGAGACTCTGTGATATTAAACAACTTGCCCCAAATCACACAGCTAATAAGAAGCATAATCAGAATTTGAATCTTAGTAGTGTAGCTCCAGAGGTGACACTCTGAACCACTAGACCATATCATCTCTCCAGTATTCTGACACAATATAGAAATAATATCATGCCCCAGCTCCAGAAAAACCTTTCAAGTGTCTGATTCTTTCAACCCATATTGCCATTTAAGATTGTTTAGTTGAATATCACTTTACTCATCCAGTTGTATTTGTCCTCAGAACTTTTTACATATTTATACATCCAATGAACATTTACTAAATACCTACTATTGCACTAGGGATAAAATTTGCTATAGTTACTGATTTTTAGAAAATAAAAAATCAATGGGAAATGGACATAGAAAACAATTATTATATTTGTCCTTTCCCCACCTCATTACCTCATTACTTAAGTAATTCATTCATTCATTCATGGATTGACATGGTACTTTTTGAGAATCTTGTAGATCTGTTTGATTTAATAAATTTAAATAACAACAGTGAAAAATGATAAATCAATATCCACATTAAAATTCCCATACTTAGAAAAATGTAATTTCTCGTTATCTTATAAGGTGCTGACGGCTCCAGAACTGGCTGCCTTTGTTTCTAGCACCATTTATTGCTCCATCCACTTGCATACATATTGGCGGTTTTGCAGTACACAACGTAGCTGCTTTCTCATATGGGAGCATTGAGAGTATGTATTTTCTTCCAGAAAGGTGCAGTATTTTTGGAGGCACATAGCTGATGGGTTTTAGTGAAATTGAAGGAAAGTAGGAATGACATATGTTGTTGAAATTAAACTTGAGGGTACAAGAGGCGACAGTGATGGAAATTCTTGCCCTGTGGCCTGAATTTATCTTGCAGAGATGAAGGCTTTTATGATTAGTTCTATTGTATGCCTTTTTCTATGCTGTTTTCTTATTTGGACCATCTATACCCTTCCTATTTAGCAGTTTAAAATTGGTCTTCAGATCTGATCATCATCCTGTCTTGAATGTCTCAATTGGATATCAATTTTCTTAAAATGATTGTGAGGGATGTTTAGACTCATAGTCTCTCTCTTTTTTCTTAATAAAATCGCAAGAGTAATGATTAAAATTATGCCACTGACTTAAATACTTAAGGACCTTCACTCCATGGTAAGAATAACATAAATTTGTTCTTTAGATTTTTTACTCTCCAACTTTCTTCTTTCCCATTTCTTTATCTAAATGTAGTTCTTTACTTTTGCCAAAGGTTGAACATCTTATTATTACTTTTTAAGACAGGGTCTTTCCCTGTTACCCAGGCTGGAGTGCAGTGGTGTGATCTTTGCTCACTGAAACCTCTGTTTCCCAAGCTCAACCGATCCTACCACCTCAGCTTCCCAAGTAGCTGGAACCACACAGGTGCACAACACCACACTCTGCTAATTTTTAAAGTTTCTGCAAAGATGGGGCCTCCCTATGTTGCTCAGGCAGCCTGAAACTGCTGGGCTCAAGTAATCCTCCCACCTCAGCCTCCCAAAGTTCTGGGATTATAGGCATGAGCCATTGTGCGTGACCTTTAGCTAATAATTTACTTTTAAAAATCAAAATAATGTGAATGCAACTAAGAACTATAAAATCAGCAAATAGCTTAAAAGCTTTTTCTCAAACTAATGAGAGTTCAAATGGACCTGGAGGGGAACAGACAAAAGGCAGATGGTCCCCACCTGTGTGTCAATAATGGATGTCTGAGTAAACGAATGACAGACAAATATTTAAAATAAAATATTTTAATATATAATTAAAGATATAATATCTAATTAAGTTTTGAATACTATGGATAATGTGTTACTGAAGATCAATGGAAAGAAATAATTACTGAGAGCTAGGTGAATGGCAAAGTCTTCACGGAGGAGTGATGTTTGAGCTGGACTTTAAAGGAGAGGTTGGGCAGGGCACTATCACTCAGATCTGTAATCCCAGTACTTTGGGAGGAAACTGGGGATCGCTTGAGCTCAGGAGTTTGGGACCAGCTTGGGCAACATGGTGAAATCTCATCTTACTACAAATATAGCAATTAGCTGGGTGTGGTATGTGCCTGTAGTCCCAGCTACTAGAAAAGCTGAGGTGGGAGGATCACTTGAGCCTGGGAGATTGAGATTGCAGTGAGCCAAGATCGTGCCACTGCACTCCAGCTTGGGTGACAGAGACAGACCTTGTATCAAAAATAAAATAAAACAAAGAAAGAAAAGATTGAGTTTTTATTGGCAGATAAATCATGATGGGTTTTGCAGATGAGAGGGAAACCTGAGCAGGAACAGGCAGGCTACAACAAACAAGGCATGCAGAGAAGCTGGCTATCATGAACCATATGGATAATATTTTGCCCTTGAACCAATATATTTTTCTAAATTTTAAATCATGTTTTAATTTTATATCATGTTTCCCTGCTGATTTTGACCACAATGAAGCTATCACCTCCAGGAAGAAAAGGTACCATCTAAAATAAAGAGGTTACTTACTGGTCAGCTGTTGTTTCAAAGCTAACTTCTTTGAGGGCGCAGGTACACAGTCGTCTTAAAGAAAGACCTGTGGAGAGAGAATTTTGGAACTTTTCCTAATTCTACATGTTCTCCCTTTGTATCTCTAAAGCAAAACTCCTCAGAAGTTTAATTATGTATCATGGTCACAATTTAACAAAATATAGATATAATGTGATACAGTGAAAGAGAAAGCCCTTATAATTCTGGCCAGTAGGAAAAAAGGTAAAAAGACAAAATTAGATCAGAGACAAATGTTCTCGTTTACCCCTTGGAGTAGAAAACTTGGGTGTGTAGTATGTAGAAATAGCCAGAGTGAAGACGAAGGTGACAGAGTCTTTACTCAAAAACCCCAGATTGATTGATGGAAAATATGGTAGCTTTTGAGCCATCGATTTCCATTCTGTGTTCACATACCACAGAAGTGCAGGGTGAAATGGGCTGGAGAGCAGGAGACTAGCAAGATGGGCTTGAGATAGTACTTCCAACACTTGCTGAACTCCTGATGGGGAGGAGCTCCCAGTTCCTGTGTGCCCTGAGAGGAACCTGGAGGATAGTTGGAAATTGAGAATAGTAAGACTGGCTGAGTGAGGGGCAAAGGGACCTCACACTGGAGGGTGTGGCATCCCAGCCTAGGCCAGAGTCCAGGAAGAAGTTGGGGTTGGAATTCCGAGGGTCCACAGTAAATATGGAGCTGAATCAGTGGTAGAGGGATGGGTCACCAGGCTCCTGGCCATGCTGAGGATAGGCCAGGTCTAGTCACCAGGGAGAAGAGCTATATCCCCAGAGTCAGCAAAGATCACAAAGGATGGTATCAGGTCCTGCACAGAGAGGCACTCCTCTGTTATCACTGCTTTGAGGACACGCAGGCTTCCCCTTAGAGCCAGATGCCACCTGGAGTGTCAAGAAGGAAAAGTGAAACTTGAAAACAGAAAAGGAGTCTTTTTAGGGATTTTGACTCAAAATTCGACTATAGCTATGTCAAAAAGAGACTAAGATTGCAAGGAAAAGAAAAAAAAGTTTAAAGCAGAGGAAAAAGAAGGTACTTGTAGATGGCAGATATAAGTGTGCATTACTTTAATTTATCTTCTTTTTCCCCCCATTACCCAACAAGATGGAGGTTTGAGAGCAAGGTCAGATCATTTCTAGAAAATAAATACTACATTTTACATCCATCCTAACTGTAGTTTGTTTTAGGGCACTCTGCAAGTGTTTCAGAGGTCATAAATAAATCAAGCTTCCTGGGGTGGAGGGAGTTGTTTCCGGTCGGAAATAGTGATCCATAGAGTTGGAAATATATAAATATTTGTCTGGATGTGGGAACACCAATATATTGAAATTGGATCTGAAGTGTTCTTTGTAATTTCAAAAGTTCTAGGAGATGAACCCCAGGAGAAGTACTGGCTGTGTGCTCCTCTGGCTGTGGCTTTATCTAAGCCATGGCTGGAGTCCAAGTGGAAATGTTGAGCTGGGACAACAGGGACAAAGTGGGCACATGGTGCTTTGGTGCTCCAGCAGTGTGTGTGTGTGTGTGTGTGTGTGTGTGTGTGTGTGTGTGTGTCTTCTATGAAAAGCTGCTACAAGCTGACTCCACTTTTTGTCAGAATGTGTTTGTAAAAACCACATATTGGATCAGAGACTCACAAACTGTATCACATTTTTCCTACCCAAACGATGTTATAATTGTGGTTTGAATTTAAGACACAGCATCAATACATCATAGCCATAATAAACACCACAACACAAAAGAGAAAATTTCAGCCTTTATAAATAATTTAAAATAACAAAACGGTAAATACTGTATAAAATATTCTATGGTCCACTTGGCTATGTCATAAATTTGGCCACATATTAACATTTAATTACTAACAGTCTTGAATTCGTAATTTTTCTCGCCATTTTATAATTAGGGAAAATATTTTAGGGGATAATTTGAATGCCCAAGTATCTTAAAATAAGGTGGTTTGGAATCTTACATGTTTTTCTTCTATATGTAAGTCTCACCTGATCTTCAACTTCGGTTACTCAAGGCGAAACTGCTCAATGAAGTAATTCTTTGAGACTTCACTAAGAATTTTATTCTAAATAACTTGAAGAAAAGAAAAATTGCTTGAGTGTTGCATTTATTATCTCTAGCTGTGTAACAAATGATCATGTACTTAGCAGCTTAAAACAATACACATTTATTATCCCACAGTCTATGGGTTGGGGACTCTGGGCACAGCTTAACTGGGTCTTCTACTTCAGGCTGTCTCACATGATTGGGAACAAGGGGCCAGCAAGGGATCTTGGGGTCTCTTCTGAAGCTCAACTAGAGAAGGATCTGCCTACAAGGCCACACAGTTGTTGACAGAATTCAGTTCGTTAACTGTTGTTGGACTGTGGGTGTCAGTTCCTAGCTGATTATTGGCCAGAGACCACCTTTAGTTTCTTGTCCTGTGGCCTTCCCAGTATTGCAACTTGTTTCATGCAAGCGTGCAAGCCAAGAAAGCAGTAGAGAAAGTGTGCCAGCAAAAATGGAAATCAGTCTCTTGTAACCGAATCACAGAAGTGAAGTCCAATCAACTGGACAGCATTCTTCTAGTTAGAAGCCAAGTCACTACATCCAGATGACCTTCAATGGAGGAGAATCATATACTGGCATAAATACTAGGAAGCAGCGATCATGGGGCCATCTTAGAGTCATCCTGACACAAATATGCTCAGCATATTTTTATCTACCTACCTCTTCCTCTTGTTTTCTTTCTGACATGTGATGCTCTTAAAGGGCAAATAAATAAATAAATAAATAAATAAATAAAAGTTGTAAGTGAGAAAGGGACCAGAACATACATGCTTTTTGTGTTGCTTATACAACAACATGGTAGGTCAATGGTATGGCAATGAACTTGAGACTTTTGTAATAGCAAAGGCATTGCAGTAAGTGGACATAGCAGACAATATTTCACAAGGGAGATACATCTCAAGATAGCATCTTTGTTTTATTAATCATGGTATGTAGTGGCTATGTAAACAGAGTGTGATCAACTGTCACTCAAAAGGACTGGAGATGAAACTACAGTTAGGGAAGTTGAGAGAATAAAAAAATTTTTAAAATGAGATGCAAAATATGGAGCAGCCACAGGGAACAAAAATTGGTGACAGAACAAAGATGTTTAAAGATGATTTGGGGGAAGTTTTGCTATGCAGAATTAAATTTAACCATCTCTTTCATAGTGTTATGAAATTCCTGGTAAAATGTTAATTAGTAAGGTATCATTTGCGATGAATGATGAAAAGTGATGATGAAATGCTGAGACTGCTGTTATGGTTAAGGCAGAGCAACCTTTACAGGGCAAGTCTTCTTTGTGTAAGGTAGAGTGAATCAGCAACAGAGTGTGAATACGTTACTGTGTTACAGTCGGAAGAACATTGCCTTAGTGTTCAAATCCAGACTGTACCACATACTAGCTATGTAACTTAACCAGACTAAACTCTCTTAACAAAATGTCGGATTGCATAGGCTGAACTTGGCCTACACTATTGTTTGGCCTACATATTAAACTCTTTCAAAAATCTGCCCAATCCTCAGCTTACACCCTTTATTGTCTTATACCTACCCATTTTATTAATATATGGTACCTGCTGTAATGCAGTAAATAGGCATTTGATGACCTTATAGCAGTGGTTCTCAACCTAGCACTGTTACCATTTTAGGCTGGATAATTCTTACTTGTGGGGGTCTGACCTCTACCAACTAGATCACAGTAGCACTCCCCACCCCTTCCTTAGTTATGACAACAAAAAAATGTATTCAGACATTGTCCCAATGTTCCGTTGTTTTAAGGGGAGGGAAAAATGACCCATAGTTGACAATCACTGCCTTAGATGTTGTTTTATGGGAGAAAATAAGGTGTAGCATTTGAAAGTACTTAGTCCATTTGGCCGAATAAAGTACCATGGACTGGTGGATTATCCACAGGAGAAATTTATTTCTTACAGTTGTGGAGGCTGGAAGTCTGAGATCAGGGTGCCAGCATGCTTGGGGTCTAGTAAAGGCACGCTTCTGGGTTGTGGACCACCTTCTTGTTTTTGAATTCTTAGGTGGCAGAAAGAGAGAAAGCTCGCTGGGGTTCCTCCTAACAGGACACTAATCCTATCATGAGTGGTCCACTCTCACGGTCTAATTATTCCCAAAGGCCCCACCTCCTAATACCATCACAACAGAGGTTAGGATTTCAACCTCTGAATTTTGGTGGGGACAGAAATATTTAGTCCATTTCAGCACCTAAAAGCATGATTAAAACACAGCAAACATTCAACAAATGATGTTTTTCTTCTAAAAATTTGAAACTGGAGAGTGGTTTCTCACACAGAGTTAACTAGATATGTTGATACAAATTGAAACACAGAAGACAAATAATATTATGTTAACTAACATAAACACTAGTTTGAGAAATCATTTGTAGAAGGCATGTGTATGATACCTCAGCTGTATGTACATAAAACCTGACCCTCAGCTCTAAATTCAGACAGATCAAACTTCAATTCTTGTCTCTTCCAATTAATACTTTTGTATTTTAGGGAAATCCTTTAGACTTCCTAATGAATCTTATCTAAAATATGCCTTATTATAAAATGGAGACAATAATGACATATATATCATGGTGTTGTGATCACTCACTTGTTCATTCAATAAGTAACTAGCGTGCTTTGATATTTCAGGGACTGTTCGAGGAAATGGGGATATAGAAGTGAATGTGAGACAATTCCTGCCCTCCTGGGAATTCATTCATTCATTCATTCATTTATTATTTTTTGAGACAGGGTTTCACTCTGTCACCCAGCCTGAGGGCAGTGGCATGATCACAGTTCACTGCAGCCTCAACCTCTGGGGTCAAATGATCCTTCTGCCTCAGCCTCCTGAGTACTGGGGACCACAGGCATGTGCCACCATGCTCAGCTAATTTCCTTTTACTTTTCTTTTCTTTTCTGTTTTTTTGTATAGATGGTATCTCATTACATTCCCCAGGCTGCCTCCTGAGAATTTATTAGTGAATAGATGATGTACAATAAATTTATAATGTAATTTCAGGAGATAATAAATGCTATGGAGATAAGCAGTATAACAGAATAAAGAATGATAGAGGATGCTCTCTTACATAAAATAGTTAAGGAAGTCTCCCCTGAGAAGGTGAACTTTAAGCAGACATGAAGGTAGGGAGAGAATACAGTATGGTAGGTAAAGGCCCGGGCTGAGAAGAGAACAAGTACAAGGGACTGAGGACAGTAACATTTTTGGCCTGCTCCCAGTACAGAAGGAGACTAGGGCTGCTGGATTAAAGGAACATATTGTGCAGACAATTGATACATTTTCATATTTTTAGTTTTTCTCTTATCATCAAATACTCACTTTTAGGGAACTCGAACTATGTATCTAATGTCGGAAGTGAGATGAGGTTCTGAGGTGATAGAATGCTGTGTAAGATGTTATTAAGGAAGAGTTTCACAGAGGCAGCTCTCCAAGTAAATGAAACAGAATTGAAAATGGTCTTGTAAAA